TTCATTTTCACTATGCATGCATCGCTGGCTATGTGTTGGAATACACGGGATAGCTGATAAGAGAAGTCCTAAGTACTGTGTAATAGATAACTGAAAAACCACAATTTAAATTCTGTAGGACTTTGGGGAAGAGAAAATCAATTTCATTTCATTCAAAAAATATTATTGTAATAGATTTTCTGCTGAGGTAAACTAATCCTAACCATTAGCATCATAATGTCTCTATTTTCTTAAGGCTTTGTTTCTCTGAGTCGTAAAACGAAAGGCTGCTGTATCATTTTCTTTCTGCTGCCTTGGGTAATGTTAAAACCACAAACAGATGATCACAGGAGACTACAGAATAAAATCATGGCAAAACTATCAACCCTGGGATATGTCTCTGTGAGACGCATACCTGAGAGATGCTGTTGGTCTCTCCCTCTTGCTTGTTTTAAGTTTGAATCCACGTTAAGTCAGAAAATTAAATAATTTGGTGTGTGTCAACTTCTCTCCTGGTAGACTACGGCTGTTTCTCAGTAGGCCTATTCCATTATCATTTGAGAACTTCTGCCAGGACATAAAAATTCCAAAGAATTTAAGACAGACTATCCCAGTGGCACTTCAAAGGGAAATAAGTGCTTCCTCACCTTGCCCGGCCATTGTTCGTTGTTGACAATGAAGATGGCATGCTCCTTTGAAATTATGAATCAATACCACCACTATAACTACTATTATTAAGATTCTTAATAAGGCTCTGTCTTCATGAGTCCCAATGGGCAGCAATAGAAGTTTAAATGTGGGAGGTAGAAAAAGCAGACGAGAAGTTGGGAGAAAACGAAAGGGGAAGGTTAACAAGAAGAGGGAGGAAGGGAGAGGAAGAAAAGGGAAGAAAGAAAGGGGACAGAGCAAAAGGCGAAATGACCATGTTAAACTGGAGAGAAACATTTTGAGGGATGGTCTACACCCAGAAATTGCACCACTTTAACTGAGTCTATTTCTAAATTGATATGCTTAAACCAGTGAACACTCAGATTGGGTTAAGAGTGGCTATGCATGATTTAGCCTAATTAATCTAGATTGACGTTAGCCACTCAAATTGATTTCTGAGTATCAACACAACGGGGTTGCACTGATTTAGCTACATGAATTTAAAAACAAATGTAAAGTGATACAATTTCTGGATGTAGAGCAGCCCTTACATGCCATAATTGCATATGCTTGTAGCACTAATAATAGATGGCTCTGGCCATTCTCCATTTTCAGTTTTGAAAAAAAGCTGTAGCTTAATGATTTTGAGGAGACAGAGCTTGTTTTTTTTTCTTTCTAATGAAATTTTATCTTTATTTTATTTTCCATTTTTGCTTAATCAGCACAAATTGTTAAATTTTTTAATGCATTTTTAAGGCATTAAGTAGAGAGCCAGTAACATAGCACGTGGTTCCATTCTTCATCCTCTTCTTTGGATAGCCATCAGAGAATAACATCTTGAGGCAGAACCATCTGCTTACATGGATACTTCCCTGGGCTTTGGTATTAGTTTGATTGTCTCAAGGTCTGCCATGTACTTAGTATGCTGATAGAGTGCCTGGATTTTTCTACAGACTGATTTTGTGTTTACTATTTTTTAAAATAGCTTCATTAGATCCCTTGTGGGGCGTATATAAAACCACTTTGATGGAAAACACTTGCTAGCATAAGCAAAATCCAAAGAATTTGTCTTTTAGGATTTTATTTCTATTAAAAATAGCTTTGTTACTTAAAGTGTGGTTCTGGTCTGTAAAAAAGACTGTGTAAAACTGGCAAACTCTTATTCCATAGATCTGCTCCCTGTGTGCAATCAGGGTCGGGGTTCTTCCCTTTGGTGACAAAAATAAGTTTTTATCACCTTTTTTTACTCTTCTTGGCCCTGCAGAGCAAACACAGAGAAGAGAGAATGAGCCCAACTTTGCTGCTTATTGTGTATCAACAGAATTGCTGGACAAGTTCCAAACAGGTACACTTGTGCAAGCCCAGTGAAGACAATGGGGGTTGAACACATGTCAAAGAGGGCAGAATTCGGCCTCCACTTTTTTTTTTAATTAACCAGTAGTGATATAAAAGTAAGAATGCACACTGTTTGCCTTTCAAATCTCAGGCTGAGTTTGCAGCGTTGGCAGCTGGAAAACTCCACCTTTTAACTCGTAAATTGAGCACATTTGATGTGGAAATTAACAAAAGGAAAAAATGTGGAACCACATGGTGTCATTTTTCAAATTAGAACTTCATTTTAAGCCAGAGACTATCACAGGCTATGCGTTCCTAATGGTAAAATAAAAAGGAAAAACTAAACAATATATGAGCAATCAGAGTATTTGTGAGGTGTTATCACACATATAAGTAGGTTCCTGAAGCTAAAAATTTGTGTTGCTCTCTCTTCATTGTCTTTCTGCTCCTGTATATTTAGCAACAGTTGTGGTACCTTCACACTCCCAGGGAGGCAAATGAATAGCTGTCTCCAGTGTCCATAGCCATATTGAACCTCAGACAACAAGTTACCCTCCTCTGCTGAGACAAAGTGTAGAAAAACCAAGTTGGCCTGACCTGGGTTGGGGAAGATGACAGAGAAAGAATATTGCTAGCTCTGCAACAAACTTTCCATTCTCTCCCTCTCCCAGTGCCCCAATCCAATACAAGCTTCTGCACAGGTGTTGCGTGGTGATCAGCATTTTAAAGGGAGAGGAACTGCAATACCAGTCCCTACCACCAAACCCATAGATCATCATGGCATAAATTAGTTCTGTGTAAACACCAACCAATAGTTTCCATGGGTTTCCCCTCTCTACTATGACTTACCCTATCCCGAGGGGCACTGAGGAAACAGCAACTAGTGAAGGACCTTTCGTGAAGGGCATGGGAAGAGAATGGGTTGCAGTTTGGAGGCACAGGGCCTCTGTATGAATGGTCGCATTCTACTGTGGATCTCAAGGAATCTGTGGTTTTTGTAGGCTGTACCACCTGCCACACCTGCAGGGGTCAAATCCCACCCTCCTACTGAGGGAACAAAGAAGAGGAAACTCCATAAGTGAGAAAAAGCTATGCAGGGAAGCTTCGGGACAAGGTGGCAATTCCTGGCTAAGGGAATGTGAGTTATCTTGGTAGTTAGCTAGATGGCACTAGACCTCATGTTGCTGTAATAATGTGAGTGTTTAAAGTACAATCCTTGCTTTCCTAGAAGAAAAAAGATTGTTTACCTGTTGCTGTGTCCTAATTACAGTAATTAACAATGGTCTCTGTGATATTCGTTTGCCCGAAAGCTGAGGAAAAAGTTTCCTTCTCACAAACCCCCTATCGACAAAGAAAGTACTACTTGCTATTCAGTGTCCTGATTTGAGGATGTGATAATTTGCATTAAAACTGATTGATCATCTGGAGAAAATGGATTGATAGCTAATCTACATGATTAATATTTTTGGACAAATCAACTGAGATTATTTTAAAATCATATTTAAAGTTTTCCCCTATTTAAAATTAGACTGAACAAGGCATTAGAAAAATATACCCAGGGGATGATCCTGTGCCATTAGGATGATGGACTGCATGCTTCCTATATCTTACTTAAGTTATTCTGTGATTCCTTAGATGGTCATTGACCCTGATGGCAAGATTCTTGCCACACACTGTATAAAATAATTTCCTTCAGAATGACCTATAGAGAAAAAAATCTTCCTTTGTAGTAGCTAAAGACTGTAAAGCAGTGGTAAATGCAAGATTGCTAGAGTAGCTGTCAGGGGTGCAAAGACACACAATGGAACAAAGCTTCACTGACTAGTCTATAAAAAGGGGAATGACAATAAATACTGTGTAATCAGGTTTTTCACTTTTATGACTATCCACATCTATCTAATACTAGCCCCTTGGACACAAAACTGCACTATTTAAATGGAAGCACTGGACAACATCATAAAACAACAAGTGCTTTTCAACTGCCTCACATTCCCTGACTGATATTTTTAAAAATAAAATAAAAGAGTTGATCAACATCGAGTGTAAGCTTAGCCTAGCACATTGAAGGCTGAATCGTGATTATTGGCAAGGCATTGCAAAAACCATGGAATTGAATTGTTTTATAGGAAAATCACACACACATACAATCAATGAGTATACAGAGGGGAGCTTTGCACCTCAAGAAAGTTTTTTTAAGCCATATTAAAGACTTTTTTAGAGTGAGAAGAGGGAACTTGTCATTTCTGCAGTCATTCTTCCTCTCTGAACCCATAACATCCCCTCTGCCACTCCTCCCACAGATATCTCAGTAAATAAAACATGCTTTGTGAGTGGGTAGGATTTTTCTGTAGTCCATCATTTATAACTGCCCATCCCCAAAGTATTGCCAAGCAGAAGAAAAATCTGCAAAGTCTGGAAAGCCCCAAAACAATACATTTTTCAAAATTTCTTAGCTTCATTTTCTCTTTCTCTGTCCTGATATTGTGAAGTATTCAAAAGGAATCTGCACTATGACAACTGGCAGAGTAAAGACTGACAACTCAAACAGTAATATTTTTTCTGTCAAACAGGGAGGAAAAGTTCTCCGTGTGAACAGAAATGGGTAATAAACCCCCAATGCCTGATTTTTACTGGGACCTCAGCACTTGGCCCAGATTCTCTACTGCATTCATAACCCCATCACACTGCTCAAGGGGCACTAAGGGGCTGTAATCTGGCCACATATATCCAGTAGAGAATGGCCATGAAAGAGGGGAATCCCTCCGGGTACAAGCATGCAGTAGCCAGATCCTGTGCCTGTGCCCCATTCCCTCTCTCCTGCAGTGAAGGGGATGTTCTGAGGGATGGAGGGCGAGTGCACACAACACCAACCTCCACTGGTACAGGATCACTTAAGAACTCTTGCCAATGGCCTAATTTAGAGCAGCCCAGAAGCTCATCTAAGTCACTTCAAGGCAGAGACAGATCCTCAGACTCAGGAAATCTTAACTGGATCCCCGTTATGCCCCTTCTTTTTATTTCTTGCAGACACAGCTATTAATACAGGAAAAGTAAATACACAGCTGGACCAAGGTCTGAAAACAAGGCCTATGTATCCATATGCTTGTGCTGATTTCTGCTAAGATAATGATGTGCTGGAAGGAGCTCATGGAAGCTCCTGGTTAATATTCAATTTCCCCACCAGAAGGAGCTGTGCAGCTTTACACAAGGCCATCAACAGGAAAGACATTTTAAACTCCAGTTCTCTCTACAGAGATGAGGTGAGTGAGGTAATATCTTTTATTGAACCAATTTCTGCTGGTGAAAGAGACAAGCTTTCAAACTACACAGAGTTCTTCTTCAGGTCTTCTCCTCTCTATAGGCCAGAGGTGGGCAAACTATGGCAGCAGGTGGGACCCTCCTGCCCAGCCCCTGAACTCCTGGCCCGGGAGGCTAGCCCCCGGTCCCTCCCCCGCTGCTTCCCCTCCCCCGCAGCCTCAGCTCACTGCGCCACTGGCGCACTGCTTTGTGCAGAGGGGCTGCGAGCTCTTGCTGGGCAGTGCAGCTGCAGAGCCCGGCCTGTCCCAGTGCTCTGTGCTGTGCTGGGCAGCGTGGCTGCCTGTCCTGCTGCTCTGGGCGGTGTGGCTGTAGCACTGCCAGCCACCGGTGCTCCAGGCAGCGCAATAAGGGGGCAAGGAGCAGGGGGCATTGGATAGAGGGCAGGGGAGTTCGGGAGGGTGGTGGTGGTCAGGGGGTGGGGTTTTGGATAGGAGTCGGGTGGCAGTCAGGAAGCCTTCGGCGGCATGCCTGCGGGAGGTCCACCGGTCCCGCGGCTTCGGCGGCAATTCGGCAGCAGGTACGCCAAAACCGCGGGACCGGCGGACCTCCCGCAGGCATGCCGCTGAATCCGCGTTACCAGCAGACCTCCCGCAGGCGCGCCGCCGAAAGCCACCTGACTGCCGTGCTTGGGGCGGCAAAATACATAGAGCCGCCCCTGGCTGCTTCCTCTCTGCCTCTGCTCACCTTCTTGCTAGCTCCTCTGCTCTCCCCTCCCCTTTGCCTTTCACTACAGCACAGCAAGTGTGGAGGAGCTGGCAGAGGGAGATCAGAGAGGAGATAGCTGGCAGCATATGACAACATCAGCTGACCTCAGCTTATCAATCCAGGTAAAGTTCAAATAAAGCTGCTCATTAGGTAAGGGATGGAAGAGGGCAGGGGGAGAAACAACCTTTGCCACTGAGAATACCAGAGCCCTAGTTTTTAGCATGTTTCATAAATCAGTTTATAAAGAGTTTACACCTGTCTAGCTGGCCAGAGAAAATAGTGCTAGCTTGCTAGCAACAACTATATTTAAAATGAGTCTAACTAATGTGAATTGAATTAGAGCACATGTAACAGTAAACTCAAGCGACAGATATTGACCCCTATCATGTCATGGAGGTACATCTTTTTGTAACTAACTTTTGTAAATATCATTCTATTACCAGCATCCCTGTGTGTCACACTTTTATTGCAGTACACAACAATACAAACACACTATTTATTTTCTTGAGAACTGGCCTTGTGCTATGGATCATACATACCCCATGTGGATACTGGTTCTTTGTGTAAAGTATGTATGTGTTCAGCCCAAACAGAAAAGAGGGCTGAATTCCCTGCCTCTGATAGAGCTCAGCAACTTTCTGCAAAGTCGAACTTTTATCGGTGGGTTCATAAAGCTGCTGCTGAAGAGCAAATGGTTTGCTTTTGGAATGTACCATATTGCAGTTGTCAGCTATTTTCAGAACATTTTCCTGAAGCCTCCCATCCTTCAGTTTTCAGGATATCCCAGGGCCACCCTACAAGCATTTCACTCTCACACAGCACTTCAACTGACACAAGTTGAGCACTATGCTCTACTTCCCATATAATCAGCATATTTTCTTTTCAGGAACAAAGCATAAACATTTCTAGCCTGTGCGCTTATGGCCAGTTGTTTAAACGTCCTCAGCACTCAGCAGCTCCCATTGACATTAATGGGAACTGCTAGGTGCTGACCCCTTGAAAATCTGACTCAATGTATTGCAAGTTGGTTTTGGCAAGTGAGGTGCCTCCTGGGTGGTTATGAGACAATGTGTTTATTTAAACTGGAAAATGATAATAGAGTCCCAGTCCCTCATCTTTCCTGTCTACAAGCATCTTCTCTCCATCTAGGAACTTATAGCATACCCATCCCTCTGGTATCTGGGTGCCTCACCATGGTATCTGAGCACACAGTCTTAGTACAAGGAAAAGTATGGTGTGGGGGGTTGTATTATTGTTATTTTGGAGGGAAGAGGACTTCTTATTAAAATACTGGCAGCAATTCCTGGCTAGTGTCATGTGGGTCCTGAAAACACAATAATACTTTTGTAGGTCTGGGAATTCCCCTCCCTCTTGCCCTCCACCCCCTTCACTGTTTGGTTGCAGATGAAGTTAAAAATCAAAATCTTGCTGCTGGAGGGAATAAACTGTACATCTGTTCCCAAGCTCAGAAATGACTGAAATCAGATTGTTTATGGCTCTACAAGGACATTTCCTTGTTTTAACAGTCAAAGGCTAATGCCAATGCTGTCTTCTTCCTGTTGTAGCTATAGTATTGCTTTTCCTTTTTATGTTAGAAAATTATTGCACTGCATTTTGGTCAACAAATTAGTAGGATGTATTATGTGGTATAGCTGCTTAATTATGCATATAAGTATTCAAAACTATACCTTTCAAGTCACAGGTAAGGCTGTTGCTTACATGAATTAGCCTGATGGAACACACTCATGTATCAATCTAAGGCAATACTTAGATCACAGTATCACGGCATTCACGGCACATTACATCAGCATGTCACAGTGAAATGTGATGGCAATGCAACAAAATGATGCTATCTTGTAGTGACATTCTATCAGCCCTAAGATTTGTATTCAGCTACATTCCACTAGCTAAGTTCAGGATCACCCCCATCAAAATCACACTCATCCTAGATGAGTGACAGCTCTAAGGTGCATTTCCAGCACAAGGTCATCACCATATAACACTTGTTGGTGGCCTGCCATTCTGGTACCTTAAAATTGTTCCTCTCTAGTAACAGTGAATTCCTGTAAAAAGGTACTCCCTCCCTCAGGTCGAGCAGAATTTTAAAGCTATAGGACTATGTTCAATGGTATAATGTTCTCAGGGCAGTTCACATGGTGAACTGCCATCACAGTTAATATCCTTCAGAGAAGTCCAAACCCAGAAGCCAAAGACTGAACTACCCTCTCACTCATAAATTTGGCCCGCTCACTATGAAATGAGTCATCTGGATGGGATGGTGCATGGAAACTGGTACTACCACTTCCCATGTGGTACATGTTCTGAGGCTAGGTGAATTCAGTTTCCAATGCCATCAGTCTGGCATCTTTCACAAATGGTACTGGAGACTGAGCTATACCTATGAGATCTCCTTAGTGTTTCAATTGCCCAAGTTGCACTGAACATTGGAGGGTTACTTGGCAGTTATCACAGTCCTCCTTGATTTTTTTCTATGAAATGAGTCCATTTTGTTGAACAAAGAATGTTATGCTTCTCAGAAGCAACTACGTTCTAAATGATTTTCCTTTTTGACCCATTAGCCTGTTCCTGCTGTTAAGAAAGGACACCCCTGCTCATGAGTTAAATGTCCACAAGTGATGAAGAACGCTAAAGAGATTAACTTGGTTCATCTCCATTTTGTCCACATTTCGTATGAAATTTGATGTCCTTGCAGATGACGAATTACATAAAAGTCCTTGAATTATTGCCAAGCAATGTCTTGAAGGGTGGCCTGTGTGTTGTGTAGCAAGCCAGATGAGCAGGACAAAGGCTGAAGCAGAGAAGCAAGATAAAAATAAGGGAGGGCAGTACAATAGTAGAGTGATAATTAAATAAAGCAGCAGTACAAGACGCTGAGGACTCAATTCTGTCTTTAATTAACATGCGTGTGCATCCTACTGACTTTAACAGAAGTTACACTAGTGCAATTGAGCACAGAATTGGTCCACTGAGTGCAAACAATGGTGTAGTAAGATGTCATTCTTCAACTGGCCAGACAGCATCTGAGAACTCGATGAAGTAATCACCAATGGCTTTAATTTAATGAACTTCGTTGTGAGATACTTTGATCACCATCTTTGTCCATCACTCCACTAAATGGCAATAGCATTGCTTTAAAAACAACCACGACCAACAACAACCAGAAAAGATTTTTTAAAAGATGGGCCACAGCACAAGGCTCAGTTTACACAGGGACCTCTCCCTCCTCCCAATGAAGAAAAACGATGGCTTTTAAGAAGCAGTTTCCTAGTGTGAAAATTAAAGACAAGGGTTCCTCCCTCCTACTTCTGGGGTTCAGTTACAATTCACCTACAATTCCAGTATATTTTGGGGGAGACACATTTTATTCACATTTTCTAATATGTGGAAGAGAAATATTTCCTTTTTTTTTCAGCTCTTACATAAACTATTTATTTATTTTTCCCTGCTGACAGAATTTTTTTCCCTTCAACGGGGATATTAAATGTAATGGGCCAAATTCTTCTCAGTTACACCACTCTAATAATAAATAACAAATGTGTAAAGCACCCCACCCCGCACAAAAGTGATCGGAGTGGTGAACAATCATAAAAACAATTTCTCATTAACTAATAAAAAGAACTACCCCAACCTCAACAAAAATTCCAAACAAGGGAGAGTAAACAAAAATCAATAAGAACTATAAAATAGCAACAGTGGTTGTAATTGAAAAACAATGCTGAAAATAATAAGCATTTAGGTATTTGTAAATGTGGGGCGAGATAAAGAAAGCCAGATTTCAGCAGGGAGCAAGTTCCACACTATCAGGGCTACCACAGCAAAAGCTCAATTGTTTACTGACTTCAGGCACGATGGTGCCCCAGGCACCGAGATGTGAGTGCAAAACTGCATCAGGTGGAGGCTCCAGGAGAAGATCTCAAATCTAGCCAGGGCCATTCTTCCAAACTAGTTTTCTGTTCTTACCATCAAATAAAATCTGTTTATAGCTACTTTTGGATTTGAATCAATCTAATAATCACACTGGTTTCTCCATTTACAGAAAATGAGCACGTTTGATGGATTACCTGACTCTGTGGCCTTCATAAAACACCATTTTCTATTAAATATAGAAAAACCAGGATTTATTACTAAAATTATTAGTTAAGATGCAAAAGCAGATTGTGACTATGATTGCTACTTCCTTGTAATCCTAAAAAACAAGGAATATCTATCCTACTGATAGAAAGAACTTGCAATAGATGTATTCATAATGGACTAAATTCATCCCCAGCGTAACTCCATTAGTCAATAGATTTACATCAGGGATTAATTTGGCTCATAATGTTTACGTATTACCTGGATATAAATTAATGTAATCTGACAAACATATTGGTGATTAGCTCAAAGCCTACAGTGAAAGTCCACCATAGCCACTAAAAAGCAACAGAGGGTCCTGTGGCACCTTTAAGACTAACAGAAGTATTGGGAGCATAAGCTTTCGTGGGTAAGAACCTCACTTCTTCAGATGCAAGTCAGAAGTGAGGTTCTTACCCACGAAAG